TTTGCTTATCCCGTACATCGTAGACTGGTCCTTAATCTTCGCGACGGTGCTAAGGAGGGCGAACGGTAATGACCCCGTGCACATCCAACCCACTCCTCCCCCCAACGTTCCCTTGCTGCCAACGACTTCGTCCGTGTTCTCGCTATCCCGCTACCGTCACGATAAAGTCTTCGCTCGGGCGTCACCCGAGTTGGGGCATAAGCCTCCCTCATTAACAAGCCCCTAATAACGCCACGTCGAGCATTGATGAGGCGGCGAAGTAATGCGCGAGCACGCACTAATTAACTTGCGCGTCCCCCTTTTCTGCTCTTCAGGCAAATCCTGGCCCGTCGAATACACCAGAGTTTGAATATAGTGGGTGTGCACTGTTCTCGACGCTTAACAATGAGCTTTGACAAATAGAAAAGTTGATGATACATTAGTTGGTTTTGTTTGATGTGGTGTAAATGGTGTCAGAGAGATGGATATTTGGTCCTTGGTCTTTCGCTTCCTGTTCGATACTCGTGCGACCTGATTTATTTTCGTTGGCGGAATCAATGGCGCATTAAATTTTCACGGTTTCACCTGATTGGAAACGGTTTGGCAGTAGCTAGTCGATACCTCACGTTTATATAATCAATCGTGACGGGTTTCCAATTTCACATAGATTTTATCTAATAATCACAGTGTTGGGTTAATTTAAAATAAAATTTCAACAAAAATTCTTCAATACTTCGTTTCATCGTATTTCTTGTTGAGGGGTTAGAGAACACAGACGGGCCCTTTCATTACGTTGAGTGATGTCGGCGCGTTGAAAAGGGGTTAAAACAAAACGAATTTTTGATACGAAAACTTGCTACCAACGTAAGTGCGCCCGGCTAGGAGCGGAACTTTCCTTTCATGGCGTGAGGTTCTTTGAGGAGTTTGCTGACAAAAATATGATTCATCTTAGTCCGTACCTTTTCAAACTGACAATAGCCGCCTCCATTACAATGATGACGCGAAGTAGGCCGGATGCATCATTCAATATCTCGCAGAAGCAGTCCCCTTAATGCCTGAAAGTTCACCAACGCGATGACGCTGATATTCAATCTAAAGTGTAAAGAGAAGAGAGCGTTGCGGGCTTGAACAAAACGTTACCAGTATTCATTCGAAGAACTTTTAATGGAACCACCAATTTACGATGTTCAAATGCAGTAAACGACGAGAGAAGGGGAAGGGGGTGTTTTATACCTAGTGATATAACATCGAATTACATGAATGTGATATATTTTGTATTATTACTGCATTCAAAAACTTTAACAAAAGCGCATTCTGTATCAGAATTTACATGTTGAGCGCATGTGTAAATAAAAGGAGATAATCCTCGGGGCATAGCCACGACCGTGGATGCAGGTACAAAAATGTACGCGAATCGGAAATCCTGGTGATAAAGAGCAATGTTATTATTTACAATGTTGTATTAGCGGATTGGTTTTTGTTTATTTTTTCTATGTATTTTTTATCAGTTCTACACGTTTTTCTTATTTTCTTTAAGAGAAGCTTTTTGTTATATCAATCATTTCAAAACTAAGATTCTTTAAACAAGAATTCCTTTTTGTGAATTGATTATAATTTATAAAGTTATGTTTTTGGCTTCTCGATATTGATACGTCAAATATGCCCTTTATCATAATAAATCCCCCGTTCTTTATACCAACCCCATCCTCCACTACTCCACGGAACGCGTTGTAACGTACAGCCCAATATTTATCAAATAAATATACCACGTCCCATCCAAAGCCATACAGCGCATGATAAATTATTCAATTCCGTAACAGAAACCCGCAAGCCGAGAGGATACGTCCCCGCGGGTCGGCGTTCGAGGGCGTGTACGTTTGTTCTTACCGGATGGTGGTCCTCATAAATCAAACTGAGATCCCACTATTCATATATTACCCCACGTTTAATATCGGAGGCGGGACTCTACGCTTGTTGATTTTCGTTCATTGTCGCTGCAGGAAAAACCGGCGCCGTCGCCGGTAGCAAAAATACCGATTCTGTAACAAGATACAATCTTGGGAGTGCCACGCCATCCACCTTTTAATGGGGGAAACAATAGACGACCAGAAAAACAAAAGACAAAGGGGTGAAAAAAAATGAATAAAAGTCTCTGTTGTACCTGTCGATGGATCACATAGCAACACCGCTGATTTTCAATAGAAGATGGACTTCCCTTTTCGCGGAACGGCACGTAATCGATACACGCAAGGCGACCTTTGCCCGAAAATAAATTGTTTTGCCCCTTGTCGTTAGGAACGTTTCCTTCTTAGCACCCTCAAACCTGCCCTTTTTATCTCATTCGTCTACATCGATCTCCCCGGCGAAAAGGTAGGCGCCTCCACTCATTCCACCGTGTTAGCTCGACCTCGAGGGGCGATTGCTTTTGGTAAACGTATTGCAGGGACGACGTTCGAAGGTTGGGACAGTTTTCCTCCTTACCTCATGCTTTCACTGTCGGGGCTTTACTTTGGGGGAGAAAAATGTGAGATTGGATCTTTAAAAAAATCCAAAAGGAAGATTGATAAAAAGCCTATAGGTAAATCTTTCAGTAACGAATCTTTAGGACAAAGTCTTTTATGAATTTTAAAAGGTACTGTAATATGAAAATATATGTGTAATAGTATATTGTGTCTCAAGGGCAGAAAATAAGCATTAGCAGCCCGAGGCTATTAGATAAGGGCTGCTAATGCATTTCTGCACGTTTGACACACAACTCTTTTTCGACTCCCATTAAACCAAACAAAATTGCAAAAATATAAAATAAAACTAATTTTATAATTTTATCGCAGTTTTGATTTCAACTGACGTTTAATGAAAAATTATGAGAAACGTCAAAAATGTCCGCAAATGTCAATGAAGACTAACTAGATTGTGATGAAAAACTATAAAGTAGGGACGTTCAGAGTTTAGAATCCCAAGGGCCGAAAATCTAGCTTTCAGTTATTTTTTTAGGGCTGATATGATTTACTTTCAGGTATGGGAGGCGAAAAAATCAATTAAAGTATTTATTTTATTATTATTTCGATGCTACAATGGTTTCGACCTAATTATAAGTCATCATCAGGTTACAAATTGGTGATATAGTATAATGCTCAACATTGAATCCAACAAGCCGTATGAAGAAGTTCTACCTATTCTACCGTTTGGTATGAGTTGTGAATCGTTGAGAACTATGTGAAACAAGATATTGGAGATGGACAAACCTAAAATATGTAGGACTTCATATAAGATTCAACAAAGAAGGCTAAGAATGCAAAAATGGATTTCAAATTTAAAAGGAATCAACCAGTTCACTTTAAAAGTCGTATTAAAAATCTTTCCATCTTAGTAACAAAACTGAACGAGATGCCGTAGAGTGATATTCGGTCCATTAACGTCCAAGTGGATCCCAAGGGAAGGGTGATAGAATCAACCCCTACAGATCGTTCGATGCTATTCCAAGAAGTGCCGTATCGACAACGATAAGTGAGTGTTACGATTGTTTCCCCGAAGGAGTGAGGAGGTTGAAAAAGCGACGTCGAATCGAAGGTGGAAAGAGGGTACCCGAAGAACAATCAAGTTTCGTCTCTCGATAATTGAAGTACAAGATGTAAAATTGAAAACAAGCAGAAGTAGCCGGAGAACAATCGAATTATCGGGTACGGCTTCCGGAGACCGGAGGCAATCGTTAGAAGAAAACGGGATGTCATAAAATACCGTAAAGGATTTACGGTTAAGGGTGGTCTCGAGCCTCGGATTACAGTCAAAAAATGGATCGAAGTTAAGGGCGGGGGGTGGTAACAAAATGGACGAAACAGATTTAACGGAGACGATGCGATCGGTTTATCGAAAGTTTCTAGCTACAAATGGCTAGCTAAGGCACCCTCTGTGCGGGGGCGGTAAAGCTCAGCTATTCTCTAGTTTTCCCTCTGCGAGTTTGATCGAGTTAGGCACGTGACGGCCGGACGTATTCGCTAAATCGGATTACCTAGCGTCGTACTACTAGTTACGAAAACTGCCTTCAGGCGCGGCTAATGTTCGGTATGGAGGTCACGCCCTCACAACCAGAAATACTTAAGAGCTTCGAAATGTTTTTTCAATGCGAATTCAAGACGACGCGACGGTTCTACAAGAAGATTCAATATCCAATAACAACCTAATTTAACCAATTCAATTTATTTACTATGTTAGGTAAACAGTTTTTCTTTGAAATTGAATCATGTAACAAGATTGATTATTTCTTTAAAATTTTTTTTAATCAATGTTATCCAAAATTATTTCAAAAAATATTTATCTTATAAGTACAATAAATATATACTTTTAATATTACCCCTAACTACTATTAATATCGTTCTTCACATCAAGTATCCTTCACAAATCGCAACTTCAAATCCTTGTTTTATTAACATTATTGTCTCAATATCAGAACTGACATCCTTCTATATCAGTGTTCTCTCTGGTCATCTCTTCTGGTTATCCTTCGTGCTTTACAGCATTGTTTATCGTCTCTTTTAGCATCATCACGAATTACTCTTAATATCGTTGTAACATCATTCACCTATTTCAAGATTAACTCTGGATTCCTAAATATAAGATATGATATATTTCAACATCGTCCCTAAAATCTACCAACATCACTGTAACTTCTTGCAGTGTATTTTTTAAGATCATCCTCTCTCTTATTAGTCTTCAACAGCATCTCAGATATAGTTTAGTATAGGTGTTAAGTGTGAGTACTGCCTATGTTTTGGTATGAATCTTTGTCTCAATCAACGTCGTTCTTACCATCTTAATTATTGGCTCTATCTACTGTCGATGTCGAACTTTGTTCAACTTTAGTGTAATTATCTGCAGTATAATCTTTAACATTTGGTCTAATTTAGTGCAACATTAAGGGGTTGTACAATATACCGATAAGGCTCGTTACTACCATCTTCTGGTTAAGCTATCTAAGGGATTATTACCACGGTTACTGCTATTTTACGCGCTCTGATAGGCTTAGCAGATGGGTTTATCTATAAGATAAATTTGACTAAAAGATGGTAGTAATGGACCTTAATCTGTCTGATAACTATCCGGCCAATAAACTTATCCGGAGGATAAGAATATTCGCTGTTGTACAATCTGTTTTTGTCGGGAGGATTACTATCGGCTAAATAAGACTCGGTTGGTAGTACTTTTTCCTCATATCAAGTAATTTGTGTCGTAGATTGGTAACGCTAACGTCTTTCTTTGAAATTTGAACTGATTTTGACAATAATAACAATTGTGTAAATTGTGCAATCAGCATTTTAAAAGATATCGAAAAATATTTAATTTGTACGATTTTAGTACCAGTTAAGATTAAATATACATTTCTCATAAACAGAGTTAAACACATATGTATTGTGATAATTTTAACATTCTCTTAGTTCACCGAGAGAACATAACCTAGAATTTGTGACAGAGAGATTTTTTGTTGGTGAAAATCTTATCTTAAACCGTTTTGTTTACTTCCAAATGTATGAATTATTATAGTTCAGCTCCTAAAGCACATTTTTCATCCATCTTTTGAGGTTTTAACGTTATTTTGAGGAAGAAATCCTTGATTTAAATTTGAATTTTTCTAACTTTACTCATTGTTGAAATTTGGCGTGTACTCCAATGTATGTCTAAAAACGAGAAAAGACAACGTTGAATACGAAGTTTTATTACGTTTCATAAAGGAATAAGGGAAAAATCAACGAAAAAAGAATGAGATTTTGAAGGTTAATTCCGAGAAAAATCAAGAGATGACGCTAGTTTCGAAGCAAGAATTTTGAATTTTGAAAAGGGCGCGAAGCTAAGATCCAATCAGAGACGAGGAAAAAACAGTTGGAGTGCCGGGGTATATAAGGAGATCTCGAACAGGGAGTGGAAGAGTCGTCGTCGGACCATCGTCGAATCCACGTCGTCAGATAGAAGAAATTTTGAATCTCAAGAGATAACCTCAAAAATTTAAGATAATTTTTTTAAAAGTCAAATCAACTTACAAGATTAAAATAAAAAGAGAAATATCCTACAACCTATTCCGAGAACTACCGATACTTCTTCGAGATCATCCAAGACCCTATTTCCGAAGAACAAACAGTTCAATTTCCCGTAAGAAGAATCCTGTAGACCATCCAGAAAATTAGTTAGTGCCCCGAACACAAGAGACAATCCATAATCCAGATACCACATTGAACTCCAATCCTTTATATTTCACAGTGAGTCGGATGATAATTTTATTTTATTATTTAACATAACCTACAAAAAGAAAAATCAAAGAATCAAACTCAAAGACCAACTCATACGAGTTTCCTATAATTTTGATCAATACTTACTTGTGGGTAAAGATTTATTAGTTTTCTTGAATAACGTTCATTTATTTCATTCTATTTTCTTCAACGAGTTTGATGACAATTTAAAACATCGGCCATTTGTTATTTTCAAAGAACGGTTCTAACGAGTTTTATCCCAAGGTTTATATATTAACTTATATATAAACCTTGGTTTTATCCTACTCTCTCTCTCTCTCAAATAATAAACGGGTTCTCTCTAATATCGATATTTCAGTCGATAACCGCAGTTATCTATTTTATTTAAAAATTTATCTCTCATAAATAAGCATTGTTATTAAAGTAGATTTAGGAAAACCATTTTTTTTGTTACTCATAAAACGAGTTAATTTGATTTTGTGTTTAATTAAATGAATTTTTTGTCGAAACTGATTAATATTCTTTTGAACCTGAACTTGCCCGAAACCCTGAGTTTTTAATAAGAGTCTCTTAAAATTAAAGAAACCCAAATTTATAATTTAATAACTTGTGTAAAAATACACAAGTAAAACATCACAGTATATTATAAAATTTGTAAAATAATTAACCTAAACAACCACTATCAAATTGTGATGGTGTTCCATCGGAGCTTAGTTTGATTAAATTTCTAGTTCTTTCATGTAACGGGTTTACCCATCACATCAGTTTTTAATATTTCGTATTTACTGCAAAGCTGTTCCCATGTACGGTTTGTGGTGCTGGTTAAATTAAAAGTTTGATAAATCTTTTGCCATGCCGCTTACTAAAATACAAGGTATGTGATAAATAATTACCAAGTACCTCTTTCCAAGCGATCGCATCTGTTTTTTATTTTCCATAATATTAGCTAGATTTTCTACTATTTCAATTAATCGCCAACACTCCTCTTGTGTATAATTAGTAGCACGTTTATTTTTTTTGCTTCCAGAACAACAAACTAACCAAACTTTTTTACGGCAAACAACAGATGTTTGTCAATGTTGTTATATCAAAACCTTGGTAACCATACATATCTGGCGGATAACTGTCTTATCGGCACCTCTGAGTACCCGATAAGTTATCCTGTCAATAATCTCCCCGACAAAAATATCCGTACATTGTAATACAGTACAAACTAACTTATCGGCCAGACAATGCTATCGGGAAGTTTATTGGTATATTGTACAACCGGCGCTTAGTCTAACTATATATAATATGCTCCACGCACGTCACTTAAGACGGCTAAACCGGAATGATTCTAGTTCCAGGTCTTGTGTTAGTTCTAGTATTGCATTATCACAATCACTGGAACTAACACTAGACCGAGAACTAGAACTAGAAACATTCGGATTTAGTTACACGTTTCTCAAGATGGATGAAAACAACAGACGATAGTTGTTTGGAGTTTTCAGCATCAGCAGTTTTTCAAAAAACGAAATTCTTTTTCTATCTCTTTTAGTTTCGGAGATAGCCTATGCGGACAACGATTTTGGGACACCCGTACATTAAATTCTAAAGTGACCGTTTACAACACTTTATTTTGATAATTTTATTGCTATAATTTTTTGGCAACTTTTTATTTAGTTAAAAAAACACTAACTGCTTTAACTACTAAATTTATACATTATTGAAACACAATATCATCATAAAATTCCAATTATATCACCCCTATAATATCGAAACTTTCAGGGTTTTATGTAAAATAAAACCAAACAAAAAAAAAATCTCCACACTACATATCACGTTTCTAAATAATTAGGGTTTGTATTTTACATACTAAACGTAACCTGAACAGTTTTCCATCACGACCCGTATGGAAATTTTATATACCCATATAAGTAATGCTACACCATTTCGAGATATTATATTGCACCTTTAAAATCACAAAAAAAATGAAATAAAATTCCCTTAGAAATTCTTTTTCAAATCTCTTTTAACAAGTTTTCAACATTTTCTTCAATAAGTACGCTAATTGCAATTTCCACTTTTAATTGCGCCGACCAGACCAGTAAAAGTTATGTTCCGTAATTACCTCTTATTTCACTTAAAAATTGACGACCGATCTTTCCCAGTAGTGCATTAAGGTCAAAGAGACTCGCAAATTGCGGCCGACGATGATAACGCGGTTTGATCGAGTCAACTTACTTTAGTTTCAAACTCTTTCACCATAAGATGTAAAGTTGACGGAAAGTCCTTTCCACTCGATGAAACTCCCCAAAGAGAGACGCTTGGCCAAAGTTGAAGGAAATGAAGGAATGAGTGGGTCAAGTTAGAAACTATTACTTAAATTAACAGCTTAATGTAATATTTAAAGGAAACTTTGATTAGATTTCTTATTTCGAAATTGAAAATGTATATAGGTTTAAATTGATTGAGAAAACACTGTAGTTTGAACAAGAAGATGTTCCGGTTCTCGGATAAGAAATTGCAACGACGAAACTGTCGGAAACCGGTTCATTTTATTAAACGTCGTAAATCGCACGATTGCGAGTCTCGTATTTCGATGTCGACGCGAAGTGCGTCGTAATTTAAGCGAGGCGTTTTGTTTGGCCAATGATGCGTCTCGGAAAGAATCCTTGCCGAGTGTTATTTACGACCACCTTTTGTTTAATGCATGAAACAATCGCTGAAACAATTCGGCAAATGTTTTGCTTCTATTACCCACAAGCAAAAGCAAAAAGAAGATGTTTGGTGTCGGAGTACCTTCAACGATGATGTAATAAATTTTGAATTTTCATACACGATTTCCACTGAGGAAACTATCTCATGAGAATTTGCTTACTACGAAAGAAAATTACTTCGAAATTTAATCTGACAGGGATTTACATGAATCAAGTTTATGTCATAACCACAAATAAATAATAAGTGAAAACATTTGAGATTGGATTATGTACGTAACTGTAAATTTTGAGGAATTACAACAAAGTTAATATAGAAGCAAACTTAGTAATTAGAGAGGCGGGAACGTAGTGTATTAGCTCGTCGATGCTTGTAAACCTATTAAACTATTAGGGTGTATAAACATACATGGATGCCTAACGTGAGCAATAGGGTTAAATTCGAAGTTATACGCCGATTACCGCTCGCCCATAGATTTACGAAAGTAAACTGGGTCGCCGAAGATTAGCATTTTGACGGCAAGAATTTTAAAATACTTGCTGGAAAACCGGGGAACCGTTGATAAAATTAAATCGGATTTAGAACGCCCCGTGCTCACGCCGTCATGAGCGCAGGAAATTTCAATTACGTGGATAATAAGGGCGAGATTCCCTTGGGCATCTTTTTCAATTTTCAAGCATTCCAATGCGAAATAATTTATTCTAGACTCGCGTTTTAAAATAAACCCTGCTATATATAGTTATCACTTTAATTGAAAACATAAACTTTCTGCGTTGGTTTCCGTTGGGGGGCGACGACGGAATCGTGTGAATTTATTATAATTTAATGTCGTTTCTAGGTGCTTCCGCAAATAGAATACTTTACCAGAGATTTAATATCCGGTCTAATAATGATTGTTTGTATATTTTTCTATATATATCAAGTCATAAATGAAATGTCGTTTAAAGATGTTTACTTCCACGTACGTTATCGTTGACGACAGAAAATTTCCTGTATCCACGCGGCTGTTATGCAAGAATAAGTTAGCTAGCCGGAAGCAATTCCATAAATTTTAAAATCTCATCTGCATGGTACAGAAACAACAACCGTGTTCGTGGTGAAACCCTCCTTCTAAATCTGAAGACTCGACCGCAGGCTTTACATAGATGAGAAACCCTTGCGTGTCGACGCCGCCAATCAATTATTAATTATTTACAGTACCAGCTAATTGGAACAGATCTCTGCATCAGAACGTGTTACCAAGAAATCCCTTCGAATTCGCGTTTACCTCGCTCCCCTTAACCACAACAGGTCGACTATATTCTCGTGCTGTTCACTCATAGCGTCTTTGAAACTCGACAAAGAGCATAATTTTAGATGATTTCGACTAAATTGTTGTGTCGGCCTTATACTAGTAGCTGAATAAGGTTGAAATTCGACGGGGATGCACGTCACTAAGCATAAAACCGCATCGACTAGAGGGTAAAGGTACAGAGAGAGTTGCTTAATACATTATTCATGCAATAAACTAGAGACATGCAATTTTGCTTCGGGGGAGAAACAGAAAAAAATGCATAACAGATGGTGGTTTTGGAGTCATAGGAAATCGTTGAATGCTAAAGATGTAAATTGAGGGATAGTTTCAAAAATGTGTTTTTTATTTGTAAAAATTTATTTTTTTTTTGTAAAATTAGAGAATTTTTGGGTTTTAAAGTGATCTATAACTTATTGGTAACGAATAATAACGAGGTCAAAGAATATGTTATATTTCTAATGGTTTCTTTACGAGGTTATTATTCCTAATTGTTTATAAATAACATTAATTAGATGATTCCTAGAAGACTAAGTAATTCCTGCCTAAGAGAAGAATACGAGGGAGTTTTGAGTTGTACATTGATAGGAATATTTCTTGAAAGTATTTCAAATATCTCACTCATTTAGATAATGAGGGAGTACATCGTTTCCACACTGCACTTGCTCACATCATTATCACGAGCTAAACTAAAGCCAAGAAAGATCAACTTTTCCATTAGAGAGTGAAGTAAAGAGATTCATGTGCCACCCAAGTACTAAGATCGCGGTCTGCGCCTTCGTCATCACCGGCAAGTACTTTCCGAATTTTTGTATTGAGAACATTCATATCTTAGACGTCATTCACGGAGTGATGCTTTAGGCTGAAATCTGCAATAAAAATTAACAAACTTATGGTCTAGAACTTAGTTAAGAAGCTTGACTTAAGAAGCTGAAAAGTGCTCCTTTAATGCATGAACAGAAGCTTCTATATCGAAGAACTATCGCAACCTAAGTTTTTTCTACACGGCGTAGTTTCCTCTCACCGAAGGGGAACTTATTCCTGGAAGTGCCATCCAAGTACCAAGCTTGAAAAAGGAAGCTTGCGATCTTTACCTTCGTCATCAGCAGCAAGTACTTTCCGAATTTTTGTATTGGGATCATTCATATCTTAGACGTCATCCACGGTGTGATGCTTCAGGCTGAAATCTGCAATAAAGATTAACAAACTTATGGTCTAGAACTTGGTCAATTAACTTAAGAAGCTGAAAAGTGCTCCTTTAAAGCATGAACAGAAGCTTCTATATCGAAGAACTATCGCAACCTAAGTTTTTTCTACACGGCGTAGTTTCCTCTCATCGAAGGGGAACTTATTCCTGGAAGTGCCATCCAAGTACCAAGCTTGAAAAAGGAAGCTTGCGATCTCTGCCTTTGTCATCAGCGGCAAGTACTTTCCGAATTATTGTATTGGGATCATTCATATATTAGACGTCATCCACGGTGTGATCCTTCAGGCTGAAAACTGCAATAAAGGTTAGCAAACCTATGGTCTAGAACTTGGTCAATTGATTTTAGAAGCTGAAAAGTGCTCCTTTTAAGCATGAACAGAAGCTTCCATACCGCAACCTAACTATTTTCTACAC